GGTCACTATGAATCAGGTCTGACTCGATGGCACATAATAACGACAACATACTATTTTGTGATGTGAAATATGAAATACAGATTTTAATATCCATAAAGGAAGTATTATTAGAACACAACCACTCTTACGTGTTCATGTACTATCTGTGACTGTTTCCACTCTACAATGGCAAGGCTGACAACAGCCACTGTGTGGCCCTCAAAGCCTAAAATATTTGCTATCTGGCCCTTTACAGGAAAAGTTTGTCAAGCCCTGCTCTAGAGTACAGATCCTGTCTGCTTTGTAAGCATAGCTGCCACAGGGGTTTCTCCATGAGCAGACTGAACTGTTGTGAAGTGAAGTGAATTGCCTAAGAGCATGTGGGCAGGTAAGAGGTGATGACTCAGGATAAAAGTTGGGATTCTGACAGCAGGGCCCACGTTCCCTGTGCTCTATCATTGCTTTTGCCACCAGAGAGCTAACCTACATACTTCCACAGATAAGAAGAGCCTTGTCATTTGAACGGTCATTTAATTTTAAAAATTAAAGTGTAAGCAAAAAGATAATTCTTTAACAATCTACTTACATTATTTGCTTTGAATATTGGCCATCATGTGTTTGGTTTGAGCCTGGAAACATATACTGCTATAGCATCTCCATACACAATGTAAGGAGCTCTGGTGGTATAGTGCCCAAGACATTTGACTGCTAATCCAAAGGCTGGCAGTTCAAACCTACCAGCCACTCTGTAAAAGGAAGACTGGGCAATCTACTTCCGTAAAGAATTACCATCTTGGAAACCAAATGGGGGTTGCTATGAGTTGGAATGAACTTAATGGCAATAAGTTTTTTAAAACACACAATTTGGGCATAATAAATATTCATATACATCAACATGCATGTAATACAACATACACTAGATGTGTATGCATATTTCATTTACACGCATATACTAGACATACATTTGTGTGCACATTTACATGCAAATGGACACATAAATGCAGACTTTCACTGCATACACATCATCTAAGTTACTGTGGCAGGTCATAATGGAACCTGATTTTCCCCTCTCTAATGCCTCTATAACTCAACTACCTCAACCATCAACATGGAAATAAAAACTTTTCTAACTTCAAGGTTTTCACTCACAAATAATCTGCATAAAGAAAAATGTGCACATCCATATGTGTACATATTATTTTAATGTATCTTATAGCATACTTCATTCTCAAAAGGGCATGAGAAATACAAAATAGATAAGAGAGTATAAAAAGACCAGAATAAATCATTGAATTTCTTCCACTGTTTATATCAAAACAATAAAAAAGAATTCCCAATTTGTCTGTATTACAGCATCCCAGTTAAGCCAATTCTTTTGCCAAAATGACAGTCTGTTATTTATTAAATTCATAACATCCTTAAGGAAAAGGTGTCTTGAGAACCACTCAGTTACTGCTGTATCAAACATTGCTTTCAGAACTCATGGGCCTTTCAAGGGCACCAAATAATTTTAAAGTGACATAATCATTGAATTTCTAGTGTTTTCAGAAAAGAACTAAAGTTGGAGAGGATAATTAAATCCAGATTCTAAAAGCCAATAATCTGGGCTCAAAGTGCACAGTCTGCATGTGCACAGCCTCCAGTGAAACATTAAAGTGAGGTATTTTTTTATTATTATTATTTTCATAACCCTTGCAAAACCTAGCCACAGTAAAAAAAAAAAAAAAAAAAAAAAAAGTTTTTTCATTGTTCTCGTTAAATGAATCAATGGGAATTAAATGAATTATATAGAATATAAGTATCAGTATCTTGTGCTGAAAAGAGAATCCACTATGTAATCCGCTTTCATAAGTAATCAGAAAACTCCTGATGAACTGCATAATCCAAACACCTCGATTTATTTCCCTTACTTTACTTCCTTCTCTATTTTATAAAATCCAGATAAAGACTTGTGAAATTCGCTCATGCTCTTCTCCCCCTTCTTTCTTTTCTTCTGGGACTTAATAATTTGTTGCCTTACAATCAACTACATGAGATAAAAAGGGTAGCATTGGCCCAGTGATAAAGCTCAAAAGGCAGGAAGGGACAGGACAGAGGACAAACGGAAACAGTAAACACCAGGAAGAAGTGGGAAGAGTGCTGTTACATTGTGGGGATTGCAATCAATATCACGCAACAAAATGTGTATGAATTGTTAAATAGAAAACCAATCTGCTATGTAAACTTTCATTCAAATCACAATTTAAAAGTTGCCTTGGAGGAGTCAAGGAGGAGAAAGGTTACCCAATGCCCAGAGAAGCATGAGCGTTGAACAGGCAAAACTGGTTAAAAGCCACAACACACACCTACTTCTCTCTCTTGCTCTCTCACTCTTTCTTTCTATATTTTCTTCTCTCTCCCTCTCTCTCTGTCTCGCCAAAAACAGGGAGGAGGAAAACAAAGGAAGATGAAAAAGAGAATTTCTTTTTCTCAAGAACTTAAATAGAATGGCTGATCTTGAGCAACAAATTATTAAATATTCTGTATTTCCATGATCCATCCTGTTATCCTGTCTGTATTCCTTTTATGTATGTAAATACACACACACACACACACATATATATTTTGTTGTTGTTGTGTGCCGTCGAGTTGGACCCGACTCATAGCGACCCCTCCTTGGGTTTCCGAGGCAGTATCACTAGGGAAGTAGATTGCCCAACCTTCCTTCCGAGGAGTGGCTGGTGGGTTTGAACCGCCACCAGCCTTCTGGTTAGCAGTCAAGTGCCTTAGGCACTACGCTACCAGAGCTCCTATATATATATATATGTAGTGTATATATATGTATATATGTGTGTGTGTGTGTGTATATATATATGTATATATATATATTTAAAAAAAACACTGAAAATAGTTTTTAAAGCTATGCCAGGACTCAGTTGTTTTATCATATTTGGTATATAGACAAATACTTTCATTTAAAATCTCAAAACAAAACAAAACAAAAAAACCCAAACTCACTGCCGTGGAGTCGGCTCCAACTCACAGCAACCCCTCCTCTTCAGGCTCCAAAGAGTGAAAAGAAAAATGCCCAGAACTCAGAGAATCAAAGAGAAATAGCAGAACACATTGGCTTTCTGATTCTTAATCTCAGGCTTTGGTCAACATTCTAATTCATCTAAAATTTAGTAAGTGACAAGTATTAAGAAGCTAATTCATCACCATCGTAGGTTGCATTACTTTGAAATGATTTGTAGTTATAAACATATTGATCAAATATAATTAATCACCACATAAGAAGTATAACTCAATATTAGAAGTATATTTTAACTGTTTTATTTTAACATTTTAATAACCTTTGCTCCACTACCTTGTCAAAACCTTTTGAAAGCCTAACTAGATGACCTTAGTTTAACTCTTAAAAGGACTGCAGTAGGTAAATCATTATGGTTTGACCTTGAGGTTTTGTGTAGTAGATAACATGCATCTAAATGTTTTGTAACTCATTTTATGACTGTAGAGTTATAATCTTGTCCATTATGGAAGCTGCTAGTCTCCTCTGGATCTTTGTTTTGAAGGTGAATTTTGTTGTTGCTGTTATTAAACTGTATACAATTGAATAAACTGCTAGGCAGATTCCTTAGGGACTGTTAGAACCTTAGTGCCCAGGTTCTGAAATTGTAGGAAATGGACATTAGTTGGCAGTAATGCCACTTAAAGAGATTTCTTAAAGATGTGACATTTTCACCTCACCTTAAGTATCATTACATTTTCCTGACACAATGAAATAGAGCAAAAATAATTTGCAAACATTTTCCCCCCACGAAACCATGTTGTCAGTCAACCATTTGAAACAGCAGTTCACCATTTCCCCTCTTCATGTCTATAAAACTGAGATTACCTTTATTTGCTGAGAAGATAGAGGACTTTGGACCAATTGAAGCCCTCTAGGCCTTAGCTGCCTTACCTGAAAAGGCAGGTAGTTGGTTTCGACACATCTAGGAGGCCCTGGGGAGCTCTGGTAGCATAGTGGCTAAGACACTTGCCTGCTAACCAGACGGCTGGCGGTTCAAACCCACGAGCCACTCCTCGGAAGGAAGGTTGGGCAGTCCTACTTCCGTAGTGATACTGCCTCAGAAACCCAAGGAGGGGTCGCTATGAGTCGGGTTTGACTCGACGGCACGTAACAACAACAACAACAGGAGGCCCTGGGTGGTGCAAGTGGTTAACACACTCAGCTTCTAACTCAAAGGTTGGAGGTTTGAGTCCACCTAGAGGCACCTTGGAAGAAAGGCTACTTCTGAAAACTTAGCCAATGAAAACCCTGTGGAATCACCACACCACACATGGGATCACCACAAATCAGAGTCGACTCTATGGAACAGGTGGTCAGAGAGTTCTCAGGTTAGCTCCAGAGTTCCGGAATTCTACCCTAAGGTCTAGAGCACCACTTGACCTGACACACCCTCTGCAGACCACCAGTTTATGTGAGCAGGAGCTCTGGTAGCATAGAGGCTAAGGCACTTGACTGCTAACCAGAAGGCTGGCGGTTCAAACCCACCAGCCACTCCTCGGAAGGAAGGTTGGGCAATCCTACTTCCGTAGTGATACTGCCTCGGAAACCCAAGGAGGGGTCGCTATGAGTCGGGCCGACTCGACGGCATATAACAACAACAACAACAATCAAGAACTAATTCAATCCAGCCATAAGCTCCTGGGCATCACTAAGCACACCACTGAACTAGAGTGTCCTATAGGGTTCCTTTGCACACACTGACTCTGCCTGGAGTCTGCCTTCCCTCTGATGTGCAGTATTTTGACACATTCCTATTAAGCATGTTAGAACGTCTGTAAAGTTCACCTCAAATCCACGGAAGACACTTAAATTCAGGTTTGCCAGGACTAATCTTAGCTCAACCAAGATCACAATACATGTTGTTATATTTCCAGTACACTTCTTTTTTCTACTATGGCCTACAATGGTTATTCAATTTTAGGTTAATTTTCTATCTTAATTCTTTAACAGAAGACATGAATTATCTTACCTGAATTCCCACATCGGTGATTTTATAACACTCAGATAGAGAAAGTTCCTTTAATTTTTTATGTCTGGAAAGTATCATCAAACCCTAAAAATAGTTCATATAAAGATCATTTTATGACAGTCATTCATTAGGGAAAGTATATTTCTGATAAGATAAAACTATTTATGCAAATTTAAAAGTTTAGCTTGTACCTTGTATTTCCTTATACTTAACAATCACTTTGAATAGGCAGTATCATTACACATATTTTTCAGGATATCTCTGATGTTTTGTAATAAGTGTTACAAAATTTCAGATCCAGAAAACTTCTTAGGAGGTTATTATCTTGTATTTGTTTCTAGGTAAATATTATCTGAATCAATATAAATAAATCTTAAAGATCCATAGACCTAATCTACAACTTTATTTTGATGACTCTTCATGTAGTCAGTGAATGTATTTGCCAATCAATCTACAAAAATCCAAAACTTATTGGTTCATTTTATTGTGTTTAATTCCCTGAAGAGAGAAATAATAGGTTTTTGTATAGTGGTCTATAGACAAAATAATTTTTAACAACAGTACAATTTTTTTTTTGTTATATATTAAAAGCTTTGCTTTTTATTTTTGAAAAAATTGTACTTTCAGCCCTTAAAAAATTTGATGTGCAATGTTGCTGTTTTGTTTTTCTCCCTACACACACAGCACGTGTAAGGAACTGACCACTGTGCCTTGTATAAGCCATCTTCCTGTTTTGCATTCATTATCACATTCCTGGTATAATTCCCGAAGATATGCATCCTAAACTGGCCCCCAGAGCTAGGTGGCTGATCACATGCCAGAAATAGTATGTGGATTTGTACTTTTTGCATTTTATTTGCAAGACTGGTTTACAGGTTATTGATCTTAAATACAACATTTGAACCATAATTGAAAATAAGTTGTGCAAAATTAGATCTTAGTTTTAGTTTTAGTTTTTGCTTTTCCTCCAAAGCACAGATTAGGCACAGATCCCACCCTTTCATTGTTCAAAAGAAATCCACATCAGGGGAAAACATGCTTGAAATTCTGGTTGATTTAAGCTGCTGTTTAAACTTATTTCAAATTGCATTTAATGATTTTACACACTACCCAAAAATAAAATCACTCTGTTCATTCTTTGAATTTTCTGGTGAATGTGAATTTGTTTGTCAGGAACACATTACATTTTCTGCTTCTTTATTTCAAATCCTGTGGAGCCATCGCTGTGTCTGGGTTCCAGATGTCAGTGCTATTTTGTTCATGTTTGAATAATTGGAAGAGTTTAGATATTTATAAACTATATGAACAAAAACATCAAGTCATATATTCAAAGCTTGTCTCTCTGCCTTATACTTGACAAGAGCCAAGTGTGTTTGATTCTCCTGTGGGCAACTTGGTCCTGGAACTCCCTCTGAAGTTTTCTCTTAGATTTCACTTTTATGTAACCAAGTCAGAATTTTTTTTAAGATGAGCTAAAAGTGCAGTGTCCTTCCTAAGGATGACGTAAATTAGCCTATATTCTCTTTGCTAGGAGCTCCAGGGACTCGAGGTTAAGGTATTTGTCTGCTAACCAGAAGGTTGATGGCTCGTAACCCACCAGTTGCTCAACGGGAGAAAGATGTGAAGCACTGTGTTTCCATAAAGATTTACAGGCTTGGAAACCCTATTAGGCAGTTCTATTTTATTCTATTGGGTCCCTTATGACCCTGAAGCAATTCAATGGCAGTTGAGTTTGTTGTTATTGTTGCTGTTATTCTCTTTGCCACTTTATTTGAAATTAATATATGAAAATGGAATGCTATGTTTCATCACTATAATTGCTCACTGAAACTTATGGCCTCAAAATTGAATTGATCAACATCTTTAGCCATTAGGGAAACACTAATCAAAACCACAACGAGATACCACTTCACATCTACTGAGATGGCTATAGTCAAAAAGACAGATTGTAACAAGTGTTGGTGTGGACATGAAGAAACTGGAAGCCTTATAAGTTGCTGGTAGAAATGTAAAATGATATAGCCACTTGGAAAAGAGTCTAGCTGTACCTCAAACAGTTAAACATACAATGACCATGTGACCCAGCAATTCTACTCCTAAGTAATGAGATGAAAAGTCATACCCATACAAAATCTGGTCAACAAATGTTCACACCTGTGTTATTCATGATACCAAAAAAATGGGAACAACCCAAAAGTTTATCAGCTGATGAATGGATAAATAAAATATGGTATGTTCATACAATGGAATATGATTCAACAATTAAAATAAAAAAGCACTAATGCATGCTGTACTAATAAAATAACAATTAAATAAAAAAACAATTAAAATAAAAAAGCACTAATGTAATGCATGTAGGTCAATCTTGAAAACATCATATTTAGTGAAAGAATCCAGTCACAAAAAGCTACATGTTATATGATTCCTTTTATAGGAAGGTCCAGAACAGGTAAATCTGTAGAGACAGAAAATAGATGAGTGTTTGCCTAAGGCAGGGGGCAGCGTGACTGCTAATGGGTAAGGGGGTTTCTTTTCAGGGTAATGAAAACATTCTGAAATAAAATTGTGGTAACAGTGCACAACACCACAAATATACTAAAAACCACTGAACTGTACATTTTAAATGAGTGAATTGTATGGTATGCAAATTGTATCTCAATCATCAATTCAGAAATTGCTCACTTTTTATATTTTTGCTTATGCGCTTTAGACCTAGATGATCAATCCATTTAGCAAGACAGGGAGTAAGAGATCTTATCATGCTCATGTGTTGCACAAGGTATCATAAGATCTTGTTGCTGTTAGAAAACACGGCTTTGTAACCGAGTAGGAACAGAGCCAGCTGGAAGGGATGAGGCCGCCACTAAAAACTGCCTAATGCTGGTTATGAGAAGCCAGCTTCTCTGAACAAGTGAAATACACTCACACCCATCAACAAGATTCATTCTTTAATGGTTTTTTAATCCAAAAACTTTTCAGACTAGTGATTTAGAGGACAATCAGCCTGCTAGGTAAATGCTCCCTTGGCACTGTGAGGTTGCAGTGCACTGAGTTGCTTAATAGGGCCCTTCTAGCCATAGTCCTCCATTTTGTGATGTGTTGTAAATCTTAGCCTCTATGCCTGTGCTTTCCACGGCTCGCCCGTCAGTTTGCCATACAGTGGTGGGTTGTGTGATGCTGTGAGGCTGGAAGCTATGCCACCACTGTTTCAAATACCAGCAGGGTCAGCCATGGTGGGCAGGGTTCAGGGGAGCTTCCAGACTGAGACAGACTGGAAGGAAGGATGGGGCCACTCACTTCTGAAAAAACTGGCCACTGGAAACCATATGTGTAGCAGTGAAACACCGTCTAGTATATTACTGGAAAAGCACAGGACCAGACAGTGTTTCGTTCTGTTGTACATAGGGTTGCTATGAGTCAGGGGTTGACCAGATGGCACCTAACAGCAACAACGTGCCTGTGGTTATGGTCCCATTTGAGCTGTCTGGTGCATTGATGAGGCAGGATTAGGCTCGGAGGGATCTATCTTGAGTCCCGCCTTGCTGGAGGGTGTGACTCAATTTCCTTGAGGGTATATATCTGAATGTTTGGCAAAGTTCTTCCTCTTGCTCTGGATCCCTCAGTTGGCCTGTCAACATCTCATCCTCGCCTTGAGACAGCAGCCAGTGGTCTGGCCTGCCGATTTGAGATCATTAGCCCCTGCAATTACGTGAGTGAAGAGAGTCCTCCGGACTGATGCCTGACTCACAGATTTGCTACTTGCCAGCCTCCACCACTGGGTGATGCACTTCTCTGGCAGTTTGTGAGTTCTGTGAGACATTACAGTGAAATACAGAAGCCTAAGACAGGAGGGAGAGTACTGAGGGGAGGAGGACGAGTTGATGTTAGAGATGATGGAGTGGCACCACAGTTTGGAAAAGTTGGACATTCAGGACATCTTTAACCTCCTCCTCATAGGGACAAGGCTTATGCTGATCCTTGTAAAATAAATCATTCGACCAGAGGTTCATAAATGTTCCAAATTACGAACAATTTGGAAACAAGTACTGGTTCTGATACCTCACAGACTTTCTTTATACCTTTAAAAGGTCTTAAACTTCAGGTCTGGTCAAGATTCATTCATTCTTAATTCATCCTAATTAAGTTGTTAACTATTTATTTAGCATCTACTACATTGATCAGTATCTGGAACAGAGACTGGGAGTATCAATGTCAATGAGATGTTATGTCTGCTCTCAAGGAACCCACAGTCTGGCATGGAAGACAGACATGTACAACAGATCGTTACAATCCAATGAAAGATAAGTACTATGCACAGTGGTGGCACCCAAGGATGATGGGCCAGCTACTGTGGATCAGACAAGGCTATGTGGAGGAAAGTCAGGAAAGGGGAAATATTAGTTGCCAAGAAGATAATGGAAGGAAGGACATTCTAAGCAGAAGGAACACAATGTGCAAAGGCATAAAAGTATGAACAGTATGACATGTATGGGGAACTATAGTGCTTGGCATATGTGTGTGATGGGTTTTTAAAACTATCTTAAGAACTGGCCATAGAATTCCCCTTGAGAAGAAAACTGGGCAGGTTTGTTGTTGTTGTTTATGTCTTGTTAAGCTAGTGCCAAGGCTTTACTTCTGGAAAAGATGGAAAGAGGAGAGTGGGAAGACAAGACAAAAATTAGGAGGGAAGAATAACCAGAAAGATGTAGAGGGACTGAACATCACTGAGGCAAAGGGTGGGTTGATGGTTGCTTTTCAGGGAAATGTGGCATCACTACAATGTAAATCTTCCTTGGTTTCCTCCAAAAATCAGCCAAACTCATGAAAGCTTTACAGGAGAGAGGTTTTAGCATTGTGTCCCATAAGTTTAAAAAAGGACTAAATTTCATAATCAAGTGAGGCACCATGAACGCAGCTGGTGTAGCAGCCTAGAGGAGAAAGCATGAACTGGGTGAGAATGTGAGGCCCCAGGAATTCACAGGAATCCTGGGGAGCTCTAAACTGAGGCCATATAATTGAAGGACCTGGATCTGACCAGGAACCCCAGTGGAAAAGTGGCTTATCTTATGGCTTGGTGTCACTTC